AAAAATTTTCCTGTAGTTGCTCATCTTGTCTCAGCTCAGTCCGCCCTTTTCGAAGGTCACCCTTCATTTGCTCTAATAGGCTGGTGGTAACCTCTTCCCGCTCACACGACGCTCCGAACTGTTTTTAGAGTTCGACCCTCTGCTCCTATTCAGCCCTAAGCTCCCCCTGAAGCCCGTCGATTCTAGCCTCAATGCGCTGCACGACCTCCTTCAGTGCCTCGCACAGCCTGCACACGACGCTCGCCTTTTGGGCGTCGGCCAAACTCGAGAATTCCGTCTCATCAAGTAGCACCAGTGCCTGCATTCTTCGCACTGCACCAGTTCTCTCTTGCCCGTGGTTTTCCTAGCCTCCTTAGCCATCTTCCGCCTGACCATCGGATCGAGCACCCAACAGCCGTAAGTTCAACCCTAATCCCACTATCCAGCCCCCTCCGCTAACTCTCCTACCTCAACAACTGTTAGAAGCTGCCGCCTACACCGCACACACATGTGCTCAATTTCGCTAGTAGCCTCTCACTATGGGATGTGAAATATACGCCCCCTAGCGCGCGACCTTTAGGTTTGTTCCTTGGTCATCGTTCCTAATGCAGAGCATTTTATAGTCACACCTAGTTCCAAGTCTGGCGTCGGCGGTGTTGTCAACACCCTCATTGTGCATGCTCGCGTCGCTGACGCAGGCAGCGTCTGCTTGTAAAAAACGACTGCTCGCGCTGCACAACCGTTCACTGGCTACCCTGTATCTGTAGGCACTGGGTCGCGCCTTATGTATTCAGTCAAAGGCATCCTTACTTGGCTTTTGCTTGACTTGACGCTTTGCTTGACTCGAGTAGATGCGATGGAAGCAACAATACCTGCAACCAGTTGTGGGCGCAACCCAATGTCAGCATCCCACCACATGTTGAAGGCAACGCTTCTCCTTCATTCAATAAATAATAATTAAGTCGAAAGAACAGTTAAACATACTCAAACCATACCCAATCACGCAACATTCACGTGATACCTCCCCCACTCGGCGATGCATTTACTCAAGTTTCCCCAACGGGAAGGTGCGGGCAGCTTTTTCTTCTAGTTGTTTCATTTTGTACGTTAGCTGTAGCACAAGAACGCATGCGTCATCATATAAAAAACGCATGAAATTCAGCTAGTGGTTGTACACATAGGAAAGCAAAAAGGCTGCCTCGCTAATGTGATTTTTGCTCTTCTTCTTTTTCGACGTTTTGTAATTATGAATCTTTATAGAAGCTCTATATATGTAAAGTTTTACAAGTGCTGCCAGTTTCTCTGCTTGTGTGCCTGAAGCCATAGTGGCGCTGATGGCAGGAACTGAAGAACATGTATTGGTCATTGCTCATTTTCATCTTATTGTAGAATCCCGCAAATATGGTCATAAACATTGCTTGAAGTGAGATTCCTCATAAGGCTGATGATTGGATTCCCGACCAGATTTCGGCACACAAGAATGTTAATGTTCTTATATTTATGTTCATGTTGAAGAACGTCAGGCAGTCAAAGTCATGCGGAATCCATTACAACGATGCATCTCGTGATTATGTTTGGGGTGTAACACGTAAATCTCCAAAAAAAATTTTTTTACTGTTATAAACACCTAACCGCATTCAACTTGCCACGCTTAGTTGTTACCATGACTTTCACTGCTGCAGAAAAATGCTTGGCAGGTTTGAAGACTGCATCACCACATGTGTTTGTTTTATGCGTGCCCTCTTTTTATACATATGGAGCTTCTATTTTAGCATAAGTAACATGTTTCCCATTTTATGCATGCTCTATCAACTTAACTTGGCTCATAATGATAAAGATATTTCTCTAGTAAAGTAGAAAGCTGGCCAAATGTAGTTGATGCATCGATTTGAATCGGCGAGGAAAAATCACAGAAGAAACCTGTGCAGGAAGGCCGCATGACAAATCCTGTGTTCTTTCTACTCAAGTGTTTTCTATTATTTCGAGTGCCGATTCAAAAGTAAAGATGCTTTTCGATCTTGCCGCAGAATGAGCCTAACTTTAATCAGAATTTTCTTTTATGTCAACTCCATGCCTCTCTGTTCTACTGCAGTTTCTTCAATATGATTGCCAGGGAGATAATCCGCGACCTGGGGGAAGACCCTGACAAGGTTTGCAAACGCGAGCATTACGTTGTGCTCAAGCTGGAAAACCCGTGGCTACCGTCAGTGTCCTCCTCGTCAGTATCTTTGACAACGAAACTCCCGCAGGGTCTGTCTCTCGACGACAAAGGCCACCTCATCACCACTACTGCCAACGCATTCGTCGAGAACCGCGGCTTCCTCAAGGACCACCGTGTGGTGGCTGCCCTGTTTTCCGGCTGTGCTTCGTTCGACGAGTGCCGGCCGTTGGGCGCAGCAGTGGGACTTGTACTGTACAACGTCAAGACGCTCGTGGTCGTCCATAACCGCGACTTCGCACCCTGATCGATCTGTTCCGTTTTGTGGAAACGCTAGTCCTTCATCATGACCTGCGACTACAGATGCCGGAAGATGCCTGGCGTGACATTGGCGGGACACATCCGCAACTGAAGCAACTCATCGGCAGCACGCCAGCGTTGGGGTCGCGCAACTTGTTTTTAAGTGCCGCGACTATTTGTGGCCTGCTTGGCGATTGTCCCTACGTGAGTTTGCACATTTGCACATTGTCAATTTTTGAAAGGCACCTTCATTGTAATGCATCTGTAGCTTTTCGATTGCATCGAAAGGGGTACACTGGACAAGCGTAGCATTAACATTATCATGGGATTTCAGGTTGCACAAGTAAGTTAGCACATCTGTAAGAGTGTATATAAGGGTACATGTCTTTAGGTTCTAGTTATGCATTCACCTGCAAGTGTGTAAAACTTGCAGAACAATATTGCAAGGCACTTGTTACACTTCATGAAAAAAAAGAAAGCAGGCAGTATATTCTGTTGTGCAAGTGTCAATAATAGTAATTAGCATCTAATTAAGTACATCATGATTCTGCTGTCACTCATGCTTCAGTAATGCATAAGAAGAATGAAATTTGAGTGAAATGTGCATTTGCAATTCATTTATAGTTGTGGAACATATCTCGAAATACAACATATTGAATGACAAGTCGATTATTATTGAGCATTACGAAGCAAAATGCAGCATTACAAAGTGGGGTGTTGCCCTTGTAGTGCCTACTTTGTAACGTGTGTCCTCTTTAACATTTTATGTTCCAGTAACTCTTGCATGATATTTTATATATGTAAAACTAGCTCAATACCTCCCTTTGCCAAAGTTGCACATTGTAGTGACTTCACCAATATGTACAGCTGTATTAATTATGGCACGTTGAGGTCAAAAGAAGCATCAACTATGCAGGACGTCCTGTCCACGTGTGAACAGGACGTCCACAGCAGAAGTCGCGTCCACATGTGGACACTGCACTCTAAGAGAATATAAGAAAATAAAGGCGAATGCATTAGTGATCTATCAAGCAGCCTTTATGATAGCGATGAGGGTTTTCTGCATGCTGTGTGCCAGGAGTGTAGTTCAGGCTGGGGTTTAGTAATCTCAAGTGTCATGACTATTGTAATTATAATTTCTGTGTATTTCCTTATTAACTCCTCCCTTCGGTCTGTGATTTGCATGGCTACTACTTTAACGGTGGTGGCACTTGGAAGACTGAAACATCTCTGCTGTAAAAGTGAGTTGTTAGTGAAGCTTGCCCATCTTTTTTTTGTTTTTGTTTTTTCGCTACAGTCAAACCTCTTTAATACGTACCCGCTTAATATGTAACTGCGGTTTATACGTAGTAGCGAGGAATCCCCCGCCCTATCTCCATTGAACCCCATGTATTGGCTGACCGCTTAAGCCGTAGTCGCTTGTGGTGTTATGTACGGTTAGTACGTACTATTTTCGTTCTCTTTATCCATGCACAGGCCGAAAATCGGCAAAATTTCGTGCGCACAGACGGTCGATACACTCCATGTGGCGATCGGACAACAACCACCAGCGATAGTGACGTCACAACATGGCCACGATGACGTATTTTTTGCGCGTACGTCTGTTGCCGATCCCATTGTGCAAGAGCATGGCCTTCAAGATCGGTTTTTGGTAACCTAGGAATTCTCGATTGCTGGTCCCGGTAGGGGGTGCAAATTCGCTGTCGCTTTCAATCCAAGCCAAGTACGTATTCTCAACGGCTCCACAGCGTCGAGCCAGGCTGAGCTCGTTTCTTTATTCGGTCGTTAGTCCTCACTTTCCCGCAGTGTTGGTCGTGGCGGCGGTGTGGTGGTGTTGCGTTACTTACGTTCTTGTGCGGCGTGTTGTGTTTTTTTTTTTTTGTTGTTTTTTTTATTCTTGTGTTGTGCGCGAGTGGTGCGATTAAATTCGCACACTAAAACTTCTTACTATGCCGAAGTACCACGTCTTGAGCGTAAAGGAAAAACTTGAAATCATTCGCACTATTGAAAATGGGGCCAAGAAATCTGCGGTAGCCCGCGATAAGAACTTTGCCGCTGACTACTGTATGCGGAATTTGGAACGCTCGCGAAAAGTTGACGGGAGGCACAGACAGCGATTTGAAGAGGTGCCGCATGAGAGACTCAGCTTATCCCGAAGTGGAAAAGGCCCTGCTTCTCTGGCTGAAGAAGGCGCGGAGCATGAACCTGCCGGTTAGCGGACCCCTTCTGACCGAAAAAGCCCTAACTTTCGCAGATCAGCTGAACTGCCCCGGTTTTGCCTGCAGCAACGGCTGGTTGTCGCGGTTTAAAGCCCGCTACGGCATCGTGGGGAAGGTTGTTTGTGGTGAGGCTGCTGCAGCAGACAAAGAAGGCGCTGTTGAATGGCAGGACAACCGTTTTGCAGGAAGCCTTGACAGCCTACGATGCCGCCGACATTTTTAATTTTGATGAGTCGGCACTTTTTTATTGCCTTCTTCCAAATAGGACATTGGCATTTAAAAATGAGACGTGCACCGGCGGGAAACACGCCAAAAATCGCATATCGGTCGCTTTTGGCGTAAATATGACCGGTAGTGAGAAGCTGCCACTGATGGTCATTGGCAAGTATGGAAACCCGCGGTGCTTCAAAGGCGCTCGGCTGCCATCCGGTGTTGTTTACAAGCACAACAAAAAAGCCTGGATGACAGCCCAGCTGTTCGAGGAGTACGTGCGCCAGCTGGACCGCCGTTTGCTGCCAAGAAAAGGAGCATTTGATAGTGCTTGACAATGCGTCGGCGCATGTCGATGTGGTAACCTGTCGGCTATTAAGCTGTTGTTTTTGCCGCCCAACACGACAGCGCTCGCCCAGCCCCTCGATCAGGGCATCATCCGCTCTGTCAAACAGATTTACCGCAAAAATCTTTTGCGGCGGATGTTGATCGCCATGGAGAGTGCCAAAACGTACAGTATAGACCTCCTGGGTGCTATACACCTGCTTGCACACTCATGGATGCAGGTGCAGCCTGCAACGATACGGAACTGTTTCGCGCGAGCACAATTCAAGATGCCAGAAGAAGGCAACGACGAGAACATGGAGGATAACGAGGATGGTGAGGACACCGAAGACTGCGAGAGCCTCCTTGTTGAGGTGCTCGAGCGGCAAGGAGAGGGAGTCGACAAGTTCAACTTCGGCACTTTCCGAGATGTGGACGGAGACGTCCTTACATCCCCGGACTTTTCCGACAGCGACATTGTTGCCGCCATCGCACCTCGTCCCGATTCAAGCGAAAGTGAGGAGGAGGGCGATGTCGAAGTGGACGACGGCCCCTCGTTATCCGAAGCTGCGCGTGCTGTGACTGTGATGCGAGCCTTCGCCGAGAAGCGTGGCCTAATGGACCGGCTGGCTCGCGGCCTCACCGACTTCGAAGATGCCGTCGTCGAGGCAAGGCCACCACGGCGGCAAGTGAAGATCACAGATTTTTTTGCTGCCTGTCCATAAATAAAGCTGGCGTGCCGGCAGTGTTGGTCGTGGCGGCGGTGTGGTGGTGTTGCGTTACTTACGTTCTTGTGCGGCGTGTTGTGTTTTTTTTTTTTTGTTGTTTTTTTTATTCTTGTGTTGTGCGCGAGTGGTGCGATAAATTCGCACACTAAAACTTCTTACTATGCCGAAGTACCACGTCTTGAGCGTAAAGGAAAAACTTGAAATCATTCGCACTATTGAAAATGGGGCCAAGAAATCTGCGGTAGCCCGCGATAAGAACTTGCCGCTGACTACTGTATGCGGAATTTGGAACGCTCGCGAAAAGTTGACGGGAGGCACAGACAGCGATTTGAAGAGGTGCCGCATGAGAGACTCAGCTTATCCCGAAGTGGAAAAGGCCCTGCTTCTCTGGCTGAAGAAGGCGCGGAGCATGAACCTGCCGGTTAGCGGACCCCTTCTGACCGAAAAAGCCCTAACTTTCGCAGATCAGCTGAACTGCCCCGGTTTTGCCTGCAGCAACGGCTGGTTGTCGCGGTTTAAAGCCCGCTACGGCATCGTGGGGAAGGTTGTTGTGGTGAGGCTGCTGCAGCAGACAAGAAGGCGCTGTTGAATGGCAGGACACCGTTTTGCAGGAAGCCTTGACAGCCTACGATGCCGCCGACATTTTTAATTTTGATGAGTCGGCACTTTTTTATTGCCTTCTTCCAAATAGGACATTGGCATTTAAAAATGAGACGTGCACCGGCGGGAAACACGCCAAAAATCGCATATCGGTCGCTTTTGGCGTAAATATGACCGGTAGTGAGAAGCTGCCACTGATGGTCATTGGCAAGTATGGAAACCCGCGGTGCTTCAAAGGCGCTCGGCTGCCATCCGGTGTTGTTTACAAGCACAACAAAAAAGCCTGGATGACAGCCCAGCTGTTCGAGGAGTACGTGCGCCAGCTGGACCGCCGTTTTGCTGCCAAGAAAAGGAGCATTTTGATAGTGCTTGACAATGCGTCGGCGCATGTCGATGTGGGTAACCTGTCGGCTATTAAGCTGTGTTTTTGCCGCCCAACACGACAGCGCTCGCCCAGCCCCTCGATCATGGGCATCATCCGCTCTGTCAAACAGATTTACGCAAAAATCTTTTGCGGCGGATGTTGATCGCCATGGAGAGTGCCAAACGTACAGTATAGACCTCCCTGGGTGCTATACACCTGCTTGCACACTCATGGATGCAGGTGCAGCCTGCAACGATACGGAAACTGTTTCGCGCGAGCACAATTCAAGATGCCAGAAGAAGGCAACGACGAGAACTGGAGGATAACGAGGATGGTGAGGACACCGAAGACTGCGAGAGCCTCCTTGTTGAGGTGCTCGAGCGGCAAGGAGAGGGAGTCGACAAGTTCAACTCGGCACTTTCCGAGATGTGGACGGAGCCGTCTTACATCCCCGGACTTTTCCGACAGCGACATTGTTGCCGCCATCGCACCTCGTCCCGATTCAAGCGAAAGTGAGGAGGAGGGCGATGTCGAAGGGACGACGGCCCCTCGTTATCCGAAGCTGCGCGTGCTGTGACTGTGATGCGAGCCTTCGCCGAGAAGCGTGGCCTAATGGACCGGCTGGCTCGCGGCCTCACCGACTTCGAAGATGCCGTCGTCGAGGCAAGGCCACCACGGCGGCAAGTGAAGATCACAGATTTTTTTGCTGCCTGTCCATAAATAAAGCTGGCGTGCCGGCGTGTGTGCGCGCGCGTGTTTGTGAGGATTGTGGCCTTCTTTTCTGACCGGTAAGTAGCCGCTAAACTGGCACTGACGGTTAATTCGTACATCGCTTAATGCGTACCAAAACGTCATTCCCGGCCAACTACGGTCTAACGAGGTTTCACTGTACAGCTGTGTGAGCTGCAGACATCTTTGCACGAGATCCTGAGGCCAGCCAATTCGCTGGCGAGCATGCTACTGGCGGCACGCCCCTCTCTGCACACGTCGTGGAGCCTCATACTTGGGGCAGACGTGGAGCGATACGACGGCACAACTGGTGTCGTCTGGGACATAACGCCGGAGCACGTGTTGCAAACCAAGAAGTTCTTCCCCAGCTTGCGGCGCATGGAGGTGACACTTCCCATGATTTTCTTTCCTAAGGTTTCGTTAGGTTATTTAGATGCTTCAGCATCAACTTCACAGTAGTGTAACATGATTTAGACTCCAACCAAAAGTTTGAAGAAGCCCGTCGACCCCTGAAGGCTTGGAAGTCGTCACGAGAGCCGAACAACGACTGATCAACGCCCGCCTTCATGAAATTAACGCCTCTCTACGGAAAAAAGAATTGGACCTTTTCTTCGCTAAGCATCAACTTGAGCACCGCATCCCTGAGTTGATGTCTGAGGTCAAAGCGTTCGCGGGCTCCGTTGCGGCATCAACGACAAAAAAGCACCGAACCACTCAGGATAGGAAACTCTCCTACCTGTTCCACCGGAGTTCCACCCAAAGCATCCAAAATTCCAGGTTTGTCACCAATCTTTCATCCCGTCCACTCACTGAACGGGAAACTTCTGTCCTGGCAAAGGGACATGTCTATAACATGTCAAGGACGCCCCGTCTACCGAAACTTGTTGCAGCTGTAGAGAAAGCCGTCTAAAGCGTGAGGCCGGGCGCCAGAGAAGAAATTAGGCTGAACTCAATTGGGATCTTTTCAAAATTACAGTGTTAAACGGACACAGCTAAACAAGCTACTCGCGGACATTTTTAAGCATTACCTGGATCTCAGAACACTTTACCTGCTACTAATCTGCCGTATTGGATCTGCACCGAGTTTTTTATGCACTACCGAAAATTCACAAGCCTGACGTCCCCCTCCGACCGATTGTAGACTTTACTTCCTCCCCATGCCGAGCCCTTTCAAATTTTTCTACACCGAATCTTCGCCCCACTAACCCGGAAGACACCAACTCATGTCCGTGACTCCAGCCGCTTCGTGCAGCTAGCGTCAGATGTGAGCATCGACGATGACGAGAGCATGGTCTTATTCGACGTCGTCATTGTTCACCAACGTGCCAGTTTCCTTAGCTGTCTCCGCTGCCCGTTCTGCACTTGAGGAGGACGCAAGCGGTAGTGAAAGGACTTCCTTGGCGGTTGACGAGCTCTGCCGTCTACTGGAGTTCTGCCTGTCCAGTACGTACTTCTCCTACAAAGCAACTATTTTCAGGCAGAATAGTGGAACCGCGGTGGGAGCTTCCATCTACGTCACGATGGCAAACCTGATCATGGAGTACATAGAAGAGAAAGCACCCAGCTCCTCGCCGTGACCTAAGCTTTTTCTGTGTTATATGGACGATTGCTTTTGCGACATTAGGACGTCTAAAGTTGAAAACTTCAGACTACACCTAAATTCCGTGCACCGAGCCATACAATTGACGACCGAGTGTGAAAGTGAGCACTGCCTGCCCTTTCTCGACGTCCAGGTGGCAAGAAAGCGCAACGGCCTGGAGTTCTCCGTTCATAGGAAGCCAACGCACACTGGCCGCTACTTTCAATTTGATTCTTCTCACCCCGCCTGCCACAAGGCCTCCGTTGTGACCACGCTACTCGAGAGAGCTAGGAACTTATGCTCCCATGACACAGAGCGAAAGAAAGAAGAGGCCCGCGTAATTGCGGACCTCAGGAAAAACGGATATCCAAAAAACTTCATTTGAGCCGCCACCCATAGCAACAGAGGATACGAAAACCCCAATCAACCTTAATGGGCAGCCCCCCGAAACGCGTACCGGTTTCATACGTTCAGGGAACCAGCGAGATGTTGGTGCGGATCTTCAAGAAGGAAGGGGTTCGTATCACGCACGTGCCTTCGTGTACACTGGGCCGCCTCCTCCCTTGCCCGAAAGAACGGCCAACACTGCACAGGACCCCCGTTATCATTTACGAAATTATGTGCGCCGTGTGCCCCTCTTCGTATATCAGAGAGACAAAAAAACGGAACGACTGAAGCAACACGCCAACTATGTGCGGAAGTTCTACAGAGAGCGCAGCGCAGTCGCCGAACATGCCAAGACGTTGGATCACCAGATAAATTTCGAAGCGACGGCCATCCTTGAAAGCGAGCCGAGCTGGAGGGGAAGGTTGGTACTCGAGTCGTGGCACATACAGAGGACAGCCCGTAACATCAACCGCTCTCTCGGAACCCTTGCCCCAGTGTATACACACGGACTGTGCTCTACGGAAAAACAAGAGAGAAAGGGGGGGGGGTCATTATCCACCCCGCAAGTGCTTTGAAGACACCGCTGCTACGTAGCCTCCGCAGTCACCCCTGAGAAAGGAACCAAGTCAGTTTCGAAACGTCGGGTTTTCTGCAAAACTTTTGGTTGGAGTCTAAATCATCTCCCAGTTTCATACCCAACCAGACAGACTTCTGTCGAATGTTTACATTCTAGTGTAGCAGTGTTACCATTTGAACTTGTTTGTTCACCTGTTCGATATTCACATCATTTATGCTAAGTTACAACTTCAAGAAAAAAAATGGCAGCATATCCACGGAGTGAATGATGGAGAGTGGGGTGAAGAATTCGTTCGTCCATGCGTCCGTCAGTGTTACCGTCTATGTGTCCATCAGCCCGTCCGTGCATGCGTCTGTTGGTGCGTCCGTCCCTGCGTTCGTCCATGCAGCCGCCCCTGCGTCCGTTCATGCGTCCATCCATGCACCTGTCTATGTGTCCGTTCGTCCATCTATTCAACCCTCCAAGTACCACCATCTCGCATCTTTTCATCATATATTCTCCATATAGAAGCACCGCCATCCAGCGGACATTCCAAGGACTAAGAGAGGTGGCACACGCACACTTTCTTACGGCTTGCGCTTCGGGTCCACTTTCCACCTTTAACCACCTCGAGTTCATGGTATATACTAGTTCACTGTATTCATGGCACTGCGGCCGAACGCTCGCTAAACCTTTCGAAAACCAAGGAGGTTATGCCCAGCGAGTATGACGTAGCAAACTTTTTCAGTCAGATAGTGCTCAATGTACATGCCAATGGCTGC